AGGAAAGATGATGCAGCCAACCAACCGGAGGTCGCCGCGTCAGCAAGAAGCCATCAACGCGCGCGTGGCTGATGCTAGACGCGCGTGGAGGCGCGTGTGCGCGCGTGAGAGAGTGGAAAACATAGGGCTGCGCGTGGGGGAGCTTAGGGCGGCGCATGGGGGCGCATGAAGGGCCCTATCAGCTACTGGAAATTACTAGAATACGCTTAGGGCCTGTTTTGTAAATTCCAGAACCTTAAACGTGGATTTTTAGGTACTGTGTTGGGATTTACGGGTTTAACGGGCCACGAAATTATTATTTTAATACCCGGTAATTATTCTTATGGCCGATTAATCTTTTCTAAGCATTTATTGGCTCGTTTACAGTACGGATATTAATGTGATTTATTTAATGACATTGTTAAATATAAATAGTGTTATTATCTTATTAAATGGTATCAAACATTACTGTTAAATTAAATAATGCCATGGTTTTAGTCATATAAATTATCCATGATATTTTATGGGATGTTTATACTGTTAAATGATATATAAACCATGATTATTATGCTGTCTGCATTTCAGGAAATAAATGGACTGTTTAATTATGTCACATTTATATTATATGGATGTGTTGCCATATAAAACCATGTGAGCTGGCTAATAAGTTTAGACTCATTTATACCTTATGCATTCATTGCTATAGACAGATGTGTGGCTGTCGGGGTATGTGGTTTAATATTATTGGCATGTGTTGCCTAATTGACATACTCAGTTTATTTAGTATTATTATTGGCATGTATTGCCTAATTGTTATGCTCAGTAACTCATTAGTACATTGAGATGCGTTACTACTGTGTAGTCTTTACAGTCTGTGTTGTCAGTATCGTGCACCATGTATAATAGCTGATTTCCCGGGTAGGGAAAGGTGACACTTAACCACCTAGTGTGAGTCTAAGTGATCACCGTCTATTCTGGTTGAGGTCATATTATACATTGGGTAGTTCCCTTAGGATGTATACAGATATAGTACTCGTCCGATTCATAATGATTAATTTATTTGATTCTCTTATTTGGGTCATAGTAGAGAGGACTTGCTCGTGGGGTTGACCCACCATTGTTGTTATTTCAGGATACGGTCAGTACCCGTTCCAAGGTTGAGGTTAGCAGTGTGGGACCACTATCCGAACTCATCTACTCTTACGATCCAGTTCAGGGTAGAAGTTTTATGCATTACTTCAGTTTCAGTTTTTATTTACTTTTGACGTTAAACTCTCCGGTTTATATTTTGGGATCCTTGACATAGGATTTCCAAGTTGTAATGGAGTACTGTATTAAATAAAGGATGGATGGATGTTGTATTATTTAGTGTTCCTTTCCTGTCTAAATTCTTTTATTACCATCATTTTGTATTCCATGCTTATATATTGCCAATTGTTTTTGATATCCCTCGTTTTTCGTGTATAAGCCTGATCAACTTATGCGTGAAAAATGTTGGGGGTGTCACATTTATGAATGGCGTATTTTGTTAATTTAAAGAACAAAAGAATATATTTATTGATAACGATGGGTTGGGTATGACTCCGGACTTGTATCTTCGTGCTCAATGACCCGAACCCTCTGGATTTTGGTCTTGACAATGGTCCCCTCCATGATCTTTCTATTCATCACTCTTATTCCTCTTATATTTAATTGGGATTGATAATAAGATTTAGTAATTTCACTAAGATTGCAGAAAGGTCGAGAGAGGTGCGAGTTTTAAGTGACGGGCAATTTCAGCAGGTATTGAGGAGAAACTGAAAATGGTCAAATTCAAGTACTTTAGGGTCTTTATTAGCCTTCTCAACTACCATTTCATTTATGTTATTTCATTCATGTCATTTTTGTTAATAACATGAATGCTAACCTACCAAAGGCCCTTCGGCCCAATGGTTTAACCTCCCCATCTTTAAAGAAAGGGGGAGGGGTTTGAGTCCTGGTGTGGACAAAAAATGTGTTTGTTTGCTTAAAAAAAGAAAAGAAAAAAAAAACAGAAAGAAAAAGGAATGCTAACCTCGTAATGTGAAGAACTATTTGTGGGTGTTCCTCAATCTTGTTATTGACAACCACAGATTTGATTCCAAAGCAAAAAAGACCTTAACCATTCTCCAAAACTGTTTTGGGTCCAAATGGTAACTCTCACAAGAGTTCTTAAAAAACAAAGGTTTGCATCATTATTTATTAAATATATATCCAAAAAAATCAATCTGTATACTCTATGATATTTTTGTTAGTCAACATTGTTGCAATCGCCAATTCTGTAGTGGTGAAAAGTCTTCTATCATGGGTAGATATCAAGCATAAAGAGAAGATCTTAAAAGAACAAAGGGACAAAGAATCATTAACGGAATTTACAAATAAAAGGTTGTTTATTTGTAATTTTGAAAATAGTTTTGAAAAATTTTAAAAATAGAAAATTGTCTTAAGAAAAATAATAAAATATAGTTATTTGAAAATAACCCTTTTTATAATCGAGTTTTCAAAAAACTGAACCATGTAGAGTTTTCGTACAGTTTTATAATTTCAATTCTATTTTCAGAGTTATAAACTAAGTAGGACCTAATAATTTCTGAAAAGTTGCTTCAATCATTTGTCTCTTCACATCTCTCTCTAATATACAAACTTTCTTTCATAAAATCATTTATTCTCTATTTTTTTTATATTTTGTTCTTGCCTTGAAGAGTCTTCATCCATGAATAATAAAGATATAATGGCATTGGGCAATAAATTATTGACCACATGACATGACATAGATTGTGGTTGATCCGATCAGATAATCTAATTCAATATAATAAAACATATAATATGTTATAAATATATTACTAATGGTATAATATATAATAATACTTATAAATGATTAAAATTCTTTTTTATCATTATTGTCTTTTTCTTCTGTCTCCCTATTTTATCTCTTTTTATTATTTTTTTTCTTTACTAAAAACTCAAATACCAATTTTTTACCCTCTTTTTTTGTTTATTTATTCTTTATTTTTTTGTGAATTCTATTTTTTATTTTTCTCTTTGTTTCCGAATTTCATTTGATATTAAATTTTAACCAAAAAAATTACTTATTTAATGGATCGAGTTATCAGATCGAATGTTTAATTAATAACAAATCAAATAGAAATTCCTTTATAAATAATTCATCAAATAATCGTTTCGGATCAAGTTTGATTCAGTCCGAATCTAATCCATGTACGGACCTAAACGCAACATACAAAAGCAATGACATAAAAAAATATTGTTTTTATTTTTATAAGATATAATTCTTAGTAATACACACACACGGGACATAAAGAATAATTTGTTCCTATGTAATCAATACATTTCGGAGAATCAATAGTTGTTGACTACGAAAATTTCTAAACCACCCAATCTTCAATTCATAATCCTACCAAATTAGATTAAAAAATTTGAAATTATAACTTCTATCAGAATTGATATGTGATTCAATTTTTATATATGATTATTTTAATAAGTCTAGAATTTCTACCAAAAGGATTTTTCCACTTTATATATATATTTTAAGAAAATTATTATTGCACTAAACTGTTAAACCACTTAGTTAAATTTGGTATAAATAGCCAATTAAAATTATTCGGTTATACAATTCACTGCAAGTGTACAATGTAAATATCACTGCTCTATATTTTATTCTCAAAATAATGAATCTAAAGTACAAATACTAACAATGATGCTGATGATGATAAATTATTCAAATTATTTTGATAAAAAGCAATTATTATATTCTTTTACCTCTTTTTAGTGGATTTTTTTATTTTAATATTTTTATCATCCTAAATTCTTCACAAGTTTTTGGAATTGCAACGATCTAACTAAATTTATTATAATTTAAATTCATAATATAATATATATCTATTAATTTAAATTAAAAGAACATAAAAACATAAAACAAAAGGATTAAGTATATCAAAATTTCAAATGAAAATTATAATTGCAAATATTTTATTCTATTTGGAAAAGTTATAAATAAAAAATTTAGTGGTTTAGAAGTTAAATAAAAAATAATAACAACTTCCAGCTCTCCAAATAAAAATAAGGGAACAAAGGAAAACAGAAAATTTCTTGGTCTCAAGATGTCTGTTGTCCGTCATTTTTAGCTTTCAAAATTCTTAAACTTCACTGTACAATATTACTTTGGGATGTGAAACCATGAAAGAGGGTCTCCTTTATAAAAGTTACTCAAAACACATTGTATCACAAAACAATTTCATAGGCACAATGTTCAGAGTCATATAACATGAATCACAACAAAATCATGTATAAGAAAAGACATGTCTCAAGTCTCGAGAGGCATTGACATCCATTTTAAGATCTGAAAATCAATTTAGTAGTTAAAAAATTCAGTTCAATTGATCCTCATCAAGCTAAATTGAATTGAAATGATTACATAACTTACTTTTTCAGAATAGATGGTTGCTAACATGGTACATGGACTGACAATTAAAATTGTAAACACGTGTTGGACCAAAGAAGGCCACACTCAACAGATCAATGAACGTCTCAAATTAAGTTGTTAGAATTATTTTAGTAGTCTATCTGTATGTTAGATACAAACAAATTAATGAGGTAAATGCAGTATAAAGTGCTTCTGTAATTACAATTGTTATCAAGCATTGTTCAGATCTTTCCAACGTCTGGTTTTAAGGAATATTGTTCATGATGCTAATAGAGAAAAAAGACAAGCAATTCCTTGTAAACAAAATAAATAAATAAATCGATCTCCGGTCATATATTTATGATAACCATAAATAGATTATGAGAACCAATCACAAATAATATTTACTTAAAGTCTCAAAAACATGATCTAATATTCACAACTAGAGAAAAAAAAAAAAAAAAAAAAAAAAAAAAAAAAAAAAAAATTTGTTTCAGCACTGGAGAAAAATAATAATAATAATAATAAAAAAGCCAAATAAATTAGATTAGACCAAAAGATCCTCAAGAAATTAATTCTGTACTCAATTACCTACCATACTGGGCACAATCCAAATTGAGGTCGGCATATGCTTATGCGAAGGATCAAGAATGTAATGCGTTCCAAAGCTTCCATTCTCTATGTTAAAGATACCAATGTCCCGGCGACCAAATGGGAGATGGTGAACAAAGTCAATATAATCGTCTGTGTAGTATATGGAATTTGGTTGACACCCGGGCCAGTTGGAAGATGAAACACAAATTGAATGGTTATCTCCCAAAAACAGACTGTCTCCACATAAGCTCTTCATTTCAACCCGATTAGCAAAACCCTCTTCAGTTTGTTGTAAAAGTATCTTGAAAACCTTAAACACTGAGGTTGCAAGCTGATCATCTATATATTTTAGATACCTTTCTACAACAAGTAGATTTCCGCTTGATGATTCCACGAGATACATCCGCATTTGATTGACCCTATAAGTCTGCGGCAGTGTAATTACTTTCTGTTGGGGAACCTTACTCTCCCGAGCACTTCTATTAAGATTAATCATTTTGATTCTACCCCAAAGATCAACAGCAAGAATCTGACCTTTATAATATATGACATCTTCGTAAGCACTATCGAATTTATCTCGATCAGTATAAGTCCAAACTTTGTCTCCTGGCTGAATGAATGCCAATCTTCCATTAATATTATCATAGATTGCGGAAACAATATAGTCATTAACCGATAAAGCAGGGTCAGCTAACAATGCAACCTTCTTAAGTACAAACTCAACCTCAACTTGAGTTGTGTCATCATCAGAATCGTCATCGCTCTCATAACGTTTGAATTTTGAGCGGTTAATAACCGGAGGAAGCTCAATGGTGGCCCCACAGAATGGGTTGATTAGGGTTAAGGCAAAAGATTCTTCAACGGTAAATAACCAACCATGTGAGGAACCACAAAACCTCTTTTTGTAAGGTACTTGTAACTGAAAATCATATAGTTTATTGTGAGTAATGCTGTATAGACTACGTCTTTCCTCGCTATTATCTTCTGTAGGGACCATCAACAATGGAACTTGTTGATTCTTTTTAAAGAATTGAACTCTGTTCTGTATTGCCAATGATTGCCATTCTTTACAGACGGCACCAAAGCGAATATAGTCGGAAAGAGAAACTAAATTGTCTAGAATCATATCCAGTAAGTGATTTGGAAGCCAAGCCCAATTGGACTGCGATACTGAGCCCATATCCAGAATCAATAGCACTGCAATGACGACAAATCAAAAAAATTGATTGGCAAAAATTCGAATGGGATAATGAGATTCCTAAACTGAATGATTAAATAAAATAATAATAATAATAATAAGTTAGAGTTGCAATTTTCATCAAACAAATTATATACATATAATACGTAAGAAACTATAGCCAACTTAAATTTGTTGTTATCCATTTATATAAAAAAAGAAAAAAGAAATAAAAGAGATATTTACATGAATTTAATCAAGCATATGAATACATGGCAGAATAATCGTAATTTCAGCCAATATATGAATCTATATAATCACAATAACTCCTGAAGCGACTCAAACAAGTAAAAGAGAATCAAAAAACCAAAGTGAACTAAGTGATATATTAATATGACAGGGATGATAGTGATATATATATATATATATATATATATATATAAAGTGTTAAATGACAGTAGTATCCCTGTTATTCCTTGCACGCTTTCTGGCTTCTCTATCTTGTATCTGTATCTAAATTGTGTTCAATTACATCAGTAATTGGGTTACAATTTGTGACAAGTCTGATTTCATAGTATGGAGTTGGTTTGGCTATTTTTCCATGAAATATTTGTGGAATAAATTTGATAATCAAGAATTTTAAAGAAAATATCAAATAAAAGGTAAGTTTTCATATTATTTATATTAATAAAATACTATTTTTTAAGTTCTCATATATTTATTGAAGAATTTAAAAGTAAAAATAAAATTTAAAGGGCTAAGAGCTCTTTTCATGCAAAAGAAAATAAAGAAATCATAAGGTAAAGAAAAAAATTTTGTTAGGCCTAAACCCAAAAGTTGAAAGAAACACAAAAAAAATAAAAATAAAAAAAGAAAAAAAGAAAAGGGAAACTAAAAAAAATTACAATACGTATATCTATAACCAAATCGAACAAATTCAGAAAGCGAAACCAACTTGTCCAGAATCATATCCAATAACTTCTTGGGAAACCGTGCCCAATCTGACTCCACTGACCCGTTAATTTCTTGCAATGTCAACAAATCAAAGAATATAAATAATCACATAAACTTATATTATATCTACAATACTCAAATAATTGGCAAAAATTCAAATGGAATTTATAATTTTAATAACTTACATTATATCTACAATACTCAAATAATCACAATAACTTACATTATATCTACGATACTCAAATAATTGGCAAAAATTCGAACGGGATTTATAATTTTAAACTAAATAATTCACAAAAATAAAAAAATAATAAAAAATAAAATAAAATAAAATAAAATTGACAAACTTACTGGTGGTTAACTATAGTATGAATAAGTTAGTGGTGTAATGCCTCTTTCATCATATCAAACTCGTTACTAACAAATCTGAAAAAACTAATCTTTCAATATTAAAATCTGATTGAGCCACAACCAAATTCAAGTCACAATCCGTCCCAACCCATAAAAACAATATCAATATATATATATATTGAATATAAACGGGAGTGGATCCTCTCCAAGAAAAATTTTCTCCTAGCATCTACAGGTATTAATCCTATGACTATTAAGGCGCCACGTCAACTACTTCTTTGACTCACTAAATATATTAAAAGTTACTGCATTTACTTAAAATATCTAACTATATTAAATTATAGATTTACCCACATTAAAAAAAAAAAAAAACTTTTTTTCTCTTTCTAGTCTCTTCCTTCTCTCCCCTATATATATATATATATATATATATGGCTAGAACAAACCCACTTTGCTCCTTCTCTTGATCTGCCATTGACAACTCTCTCTCTAAAACCTTCAATCAACAAAACTGTTTAAGCTTGAAGCCTTCGAATCAATTAATAATTCCAATGCTTGGTGATGGCAATCAACAAAACTGTTCAAACTCTTAAATATATATTATTGGAGAACTATAACTCAATTTCCTAAATTGGATATAAATACAAATTAAAGGATCATAATTAATTTTAATTGGAATTGACAAAAATAAAAAATAAAAAAGCGATTCAACAGTAAAGAAGAGAGTTGAATTGTATATAATCTGTAGATATATATATATATATATATATATATATATATATATGTGTGTGTGTGTGTGTGTGTGTGTGTGTGTGTTATATAGGAGAGAGAAGGAAGAGAGAAAAAAGTAATTTTTTTTTTTTTTAATATGGATAAATTTGTAATTTAACATATTAAAAAGTGTGGTAACTTTTCCAATATAAACAATCAAAACAACTTTCCTTAAATAATCTTAAACTTCACACTTGGGGGATGCAAACCTTATGAGTAGATGTATAAACGTCGAGAGTTTATTTTGTTTTCTTTATATATAAAGATATAATATTTCCTTAAACAGAAAAACGAGAGTTTATTTAAGGAAATTGCACACAGTATCGTTGTCGGTAATTGTGTTTCATAGCAAGTCTTGATATTGACATGTAGTGATTTATATTTTTTTCACCACACGAAGTGATAAATTAAACTCACTAAAATAAAAAGAATTTTTATTTATGTAACATGATACAATTGATTGATAATATATTAAGTTTATATATGAATTTATTTAACCATATAAATACATGATTGAATAATGGCAAAATAAGTAAAAACACAATAAAAAATAATATTATAATCTTAAATGGAATAAGTAAATAAAAACAAATAAAAAAAGAAGAAAATAAATAATATGAATAGTTTAAAGAACTTACAAAAGTTTGCAATAATAACTTCCACGATGAAGAATACAGTGAGATTTCTGAAGCTGCGTAGATGTATATATATTTTTATGAGATTAGTCAGGGTTTTATTGTCCAAAAAATGTATTATAGGGATAGATATATTATAATAAAAATAAATAAATTGGAGAAAATCATAAATATATATATATATATATATATATATATATATATATATATATATATATTTATGAAATAATAATAATTACATCTTCAACTAACATTTTAACAAAATCATTATTGATAACTTCCTCAACTAACATTTTTACAGAATCATATTATTAGTAAAAAGCAGGTGCTCGAAACTCAAAATTTTATTTATAATTTTAATTAATTTTTCATATACAAAATTATATATATACATAAATTAAACCTTTTTACAAATAATTAGTCAGCAATTGTTTTGAGTAATTAAATAATTAATTAGTAACTTGTTCTGACTAATTTAAATTTTAGATATTTATGAAATCAAATGTGTTGTCCTTTTCACATTCATTAGCAACAAACAAATTTCTAAAAGTAAATAATAAAGTTTAAGGAGTTGTAATTTCTTATTTAAGTTATTTTTAATCATAAGATATAAATGCTAATTATAAATAAATATTAAAATTCATATTTTAAGTAATTAGACATAATTGTAAATCATAATAGGTCAAAAAAAATAACACACAACACGGATAATATGTTTTAAAATAATATATATCAATAAATTATCTTCAACGACTAATAGCAATTTATCAAGCAACTGGAGTTTGAAGAGGATAAAGTATAAATTCAATTACCACTATAAGAATCCAATTAATAAAAACAAGTTTTGAAAACAAAAATAAGGCAAAAGTGCCAAAAACCCTCTATGATCAAAAGTCAAAAATACACCCTAAACTATTTGGACTTGCAAATTGAACCCTCATCTATATCAATGTTGTAAAAAAGACCCTCCCTTTGGCGTCGGTTCATACACGAGCTGGTATATTTTCAAATAATTCTCAAATTACCCTTGAATTGCAAGTAATATAATGACACTCTCTAAAGTCTGAACAATATACTTGGATTTTTTAGGGATTAAGGATGATGTATAAAAGTCTGTAAATTACATGTTAAACCCCCTCACCAATGTTGAAATTGCGCACAGTAACTACACCACGGTACCCTTAGACGTTTGTGTTTCATGGCAGAAGCCTTAATATTGATGCAAAGTGTTTTTTTTTTTTCAAAGTATTTTTATTTTATTTATATAACATGATACAATTAGTTGATGGTATAATTATATATGAAACTATTTTAGCATATGAATATAAATACATGATCGAATAGTAGCAAGCAGGTAAAAACACAATAAGAAACAGCATTATAATTTTAAAAAGGAATAAGTACATAAAAAAAGAGAACGAAAATAAAGAATATGAATAGTTTAAAGATCTTACCAAAGTATGCAATAATAACTTCCACAACTAACAATGAGTACAGTGAGATTTATGAAGCTGTGTCGATGTGTTTATATATATATAGAGAGAGATGCTTACAATTCCTCCCCTAATCAAGAAAGGAATAAAGGAAAAACTTCTAAGAATTCTAATACAACAAGGATTAGTCAAGGTATAATTATTATTTTTTAAATGTATTATAGGAATAGATAAATTATAATATATATATATGAAATAAGAGGAATGGTAAGAAAAATTAAGCCAAAGTCATTGGCCATTTCAACTTTATTAATTACTTGTTTCGTTAACGAATGGCAGACCAAAAAAGTTATCTTTTAGGACAAAAATACCCTTAAAACTTTTATTCTCTTTCAGGTCTTGATTCATACGTGTACGCGTGTATATATATATATATATATACATATATATATATTTATTTATATGGACGTGTGTTATATAATTACGATAATTTTTTATTTTAATATTTTCACTTATCAAACCTATCTATTATTATAGAGTTTGTGTTTCAATTAGTTAAAAAACTTAACTTATTATAGAAGTTGTGTTCTAATTAAACTAAAGGACAAAAACATGTAAAATAACTGGCAAAAAGAAAATAAAAATAATTGTATAATTTATGTAAAATTTCAACTGATTGATATGATATTTGAAAACTTACCTATTATTATAGAGGTTATGTTCTAATTAAACCAAGGGATAAAAACTGTGTTTGGGTAATTTATTTAAAACTTTTCTTCTCTTTCCTGTCTTGATTCTTACGTGTAGGCATATATATATATATATGGACGTGTGTATACGATAATTTTTATTTTAATATCTACACTTATCAAACCTACCTATTATTATAGAGTTTGTGTTTCAATTAGTTAAAAAACTTAATTTATTATAGAAGTTGTGTTCTAATTAAACTAAAGGACAAAAACATGTAAAATAACTGGCAAAAAGAAAATAAAAATAATTGTATAGTTTATGTAAAATTTCAACTGATTGAGATGATATTTAAAAACTTACCTATTGTTATACTCCGTAGAGGTTATGTTCTAATTAAACTAAGGGATAAAAACTGTGTTTGGGTAATTTATTTATAAAAGAAAGAAAAAAAAAACTCGACAAAAGAAAAAAAAATATTGTATAGATTTTAAAATTTTCAACTGAAACTCTTTAATGTAATATTAAAAAACTTAATTTTCTTATTTAGTAAGTTAATAATATTAATATTAAAGTGTGTGTGTGTATATATATATATAAATGTAATGTAATATAATATTTTAATACAAAGAACATATAAGGTTGGCGTGATTATATTAATATATCATCCTTAATTTATAATGTCATAACTACCCTTTATAATTTCTTTACTTCTTTTTCTTTATTTATTTGTTTTTTATTTTTATTTTTATTTTTTTGTAAAGTATAATCGCACCCATGAAATTTAGCAAAATGACAAACAGATTTTTTGAACAAAGAGACCCTTAAAAAATGGACAAACACACACTGACTTTATTACCTTTTATATAAAATTGATATTTTGATTGAGTTAAATACTTGGATCAAACCCAGACCCTTAAACCCAAACCCCTCTCTCTCTATGTATGTATGTACGCACACGACAAAATCGCCGCCCACCGCCACCACCCATCGCCGCCACTGCCAAAACCCACACAATTCTAATCACAGTCCATCACCAATCGCCGCCGTAGACACCACCCACACAATCCAAATCATCAATCGCCGCCACCACCCACACAATCATGTTCTTGGCTTGTCTTAGCAAATGAACTCCAAATGGGTTCTCTAATATTAATGGTAACCAAGAAAGAGAGTGAGCTGGAAAAAGATGGGATTGATATAGACTGCTCTCTTCTTCTTGTTTCTCTATATAAACTAAGAAGAAAATAGAAGAGAAGAGAGAGTGGAGAGAGGTATATAAAAAAAAAAATAACAAATGAATCACTCTCAAATTTAGACATTTTTGTCATGTGCTCTATCTCTTGACCTCTTTATTTTATCTGTTTTGTGAATGAATCAAAATTGCCGGTTGTCTTTGGTGTTGAGGACAGAGAGGAGAGAGAACGAGATGAATTATTGGGCATTGGCAACTTTTATAGCGGTAACATTGGGGATTAGAGAAGAGGTTATGGTTTCATCTACATTTGTGCTACAGCCGGTGTTGGTGGCGGTGTCGTACACAAGCGTATCTGTTAGGGGATACAGAGAGAGAAGCATAGATAGTGTGATAGGAAGAGAGAGAAGGGAAAAAATAAGGGGCTATTGCGTTGTTTCAAGGTCGTATATTTTGTAATATATCTGAATTTAATGTTAAAGGGTAATTTTGTCTTTTTATATGAATTTAACTTTTTTTCACTTAATTTTTTTTTTTTTATTGTTTTTTGTAATTTTTGACTGGTAATTTTGTATGAATTATCTCAAAAGAAATAATTTATTCTCAAAATATATATATATATATATATATATATATATATATATAAATATATATATATATTTTGAGGTATTATTAAAAGAGATAATATATTTGATAGAGATAAAAAACATATATGTTTAATGCTCCTCTTTTCGTACTACTACATTTTATTTTTTATTTATTTATTTATTTTTGATCTTGACAGAAGAGATTATTTCTTCAATAAATATATTTTTTTGGGAATTTTTTTTCATGTCAAAAGATATAATTTTTAATGGTTACTTTTTTTTTTTTTTTTTCCTTCCCGTCACTATTTTTTTATTTTATCAAAATCAACAATTAGATTTATTGGTTATTTTTCAATCTAATTTCATGAACTGATTCAATATTATTTAAATAAATACAGCTAAGGATGGGCCATCATCAGGTGGAGGACTCATTATCGCTAACTTAACAAAATTCAAGAAAATATAATAATAAGAAAAATAAAATAAATAAAAAATATGAATTATTTATTTATTTTTTATATATTATTTTTCTAATTAGATTTTTTTTAATTAAAAAACTCACATAATAAATAAGTCATTTGAATTTTATAGAAACTCTTCTAAACATCTTATATTAATTAAAAAATAAAAACACATAATAAATAACTAATTTGTGTTAATTTTTTATAGAAACTCTTTTTATATCAATTAAAAAATATTTTTTTATATTAATAAATAAATACTGAAACTCTTTAAACTTTTAATAATAACTAGTGAGTAAAATCTAATTTAAATTAATAATCAATAAAATAATAAAATAATTATTTTCTCAATGATAATTAAAATTAATTTATTAAAATAATTACATTGATATATTAATTAAGATAAATAGATTACAAGATTAAATAATGATAACAATTTACAAAATCATTACAATATTAAATTATAAATTTTCTTATCTAATTTGATTTATTTTTATTAAAAAAATTCATAATAAATATATAATTTGAGTTTTATAGAAACTCTTTTAAAGACCTTATATTAATTTTAAAAAAATTCATAATAAATAGGTAATTTATGTTTAAAGTTTTTATAAAAACTTCTAACTCTACTATGACGTATATATTTATATTTCCTTATCTAAGTGTTTAGGAGAGTTTCTATATAAAAAACTCAAATTATTTTATTTTATTAAAAAAATTCATAATAAATAAGTAATTTGAGTTTTTTTATATAGAAACTCTTCTAAACACTAAATAGGTAATTTGTGTTAGAATTTTATAGAAACTCTTTTAATTTTTTTTATTATTAAGTATTTTTATAGAAACTTTTTTAAACACCTTATATTAATTGAAAAAATAAAAACTCATACTAAATAGAAATTTTGTGTTAGAGTTTTATAGAAACTCTTTTAAAAATTCTTTTTATATTTATAAATACTTACTAAAATACTGAAATTGTAATAATAGTATTGATAGATATAGATAATAGTATATATATATATAACCTTTTTACAAATACGGAGTAATTAGTTAGCAATTTGTTTTGAGTAATTGAATAATTAATTAGTAACTTGTTTTGACTAATTTAAATTTTAAATATTTATGAAATAAAATGTGATATCTTTTTCACATTCATTAGCAATAAACAAATTTCTAAAAGTAAATAATAAAATTTAAAAAGTTGCAATTTCTCATTTAAGTTATTTTCAATCATAAAATATAAATATTAATTTTAAATAAATATTAAATTTAAAATTAATATTTATATTTTAAGCCATTAGACTTAATTGTAAATCATAATAAGTCAAAAAAATAACACAAACACTGACATGTGTTTGAAAACAATAGATATCTTCAACTACTAATAGCAATTTATCAAGCAACTGGAGTTCGAAGTGGACAGACTAAAAATTCAATTACCACTATAAGAATACAATTAATAAAACAAGTTTTGAAAACAAAAATAAACAATGAAACTTAAACACAGGGAGTTCAATAAAACATAAAAATGAAATAGATATTAACAACAAATTTAACCTCTAGCTCTGCTCTATCTATTTTATATCTTATAAAAGTTTTCTATCAGAGATTTTTTTTTTTTTGGTTCCTTCAAATTGATAAAAAAAAAAAGAAAAAGAAAAAGAAAAAAAAAGGGTAATCTGATTACAATGCAAGATTGATATAACCACAAAAAGGCAAATTAAGCAACAACACTGTAAATGTATACAAAATTAACAATATTATGGAAAGCAATAATCTGAATATAAATACCGTTCTTTTGTAATTAGGATAGCGGAGAGAGAAGTATAAGAGGGAGAGTGTATTGTAAGAAACGGAACGAGTGATGTACAGTATAAGGAAACTTTTTGATTCTATTGATTGAGAGAATTAATATACACACGTGAATAGTAAAAATGAAATACAAAATTAACAATGATATCAAAAAAATATTGGTTAATTGCACTAACACACTAACGTTTTGGTCAATTTCATTCGGATGACAGTCAACGTGTGTGTTGTTTGACTCCTTAGGTTTGAAAAGTTTTGCAAACACATCCCTTCAAACTATTGTAGTATCAAAAAGCGATTAATTTACCCTTTAACTTGTTAAGAGTAACTCGTGAAATGATCCATTTTACTTGTAAAAACCCAAAAAAAAGTTTATTTATTTATTTATAATACTTGGTTACATTTAAGTGGTAATGATTTGTAGTGGGTAAAAGTTTAAATAGGAAGAGTTGGTTTAGAAAGAAAATAAGAGAAGAAGAGAAAAAAAAAGAAAAAAAAACATTTGTGTAAACCTACGCACCACACACAAACACAAACTTGTGTGCCTTGGTTTCATATGACATGGAAAGACAAGACCAAAAAAGAAAAATAAATAAATAAATAAATAAAGGAGTGGTTAATAATAAGTTTATCTAGGAAAATATGCGATTTGGAATATCTGGTGTAAATGTTAAGAAAAAGATAAAGTACAACAATACTCGTTAAGGTGTGTCAGAAGAACATACAAATACAAGTTATACAATTTATTCTATTTTTGGATAGTGACACCCCCTCAAGTTTCATATAGTTACTAAAGACACCCTAATAGTAATGAATTGACATTTTTGCCCTTTTTAAATTTTTTTTTAATTTTTTATATTGACCAATTTTAAATTTAAAATTACCCTTCTAACCTTAGTAACCCATTTCTCTCATTCTCTTCTCTCTCCATTCTCTCTTCCTTCATCCTTCCATTTTTATTTATTATATATATATATATATATATATATATATATATATATATATATATCCACCATGCCACCAACGCCACTGCCATTGCCTAAACCGCGCGCCACCACAATACCTACTGCTACCGCCACCGCAACAACACCCACCACCACAACCACTGCCATACAACACCCACTGCAACCACCGCCACACCCACACAAACACCACCACACAACACTGAACACCCACTACAACCACCACTGCACCCACCACCGCACCCACACACATACCACCCTAACTTCGGGGCGGAGCAATTGTCGAAGTCACCAACTTCGACCAAGCCAAGATCATCAAATCCGCCACCACCACAACAGTGACCAACTACCAATATTGCTTGACGCCATCAATTACAAGGGTCACATACATGCTAACATCATGTTATCAACTATACATTAACACAACTTCCATAAAACAAAGTCAATCATGCTTTTAACACATAATTGAAAGCAATTTATGCTTGAGGCACTTAACACATTATTAACATATACAAGGCAACAATTTCATTTCAAAAATTTACAAATATTCAAAATATACTTGCAGTAGAGATATAATTACTCAATTAAGAAATAAAGATCGAAGCATTAGAAGACCCCTACCTCAAAACAAGCCAAAATGCATCCTCAACAGGAAAAGTCAACGTCGATCTATGCGGTCAATGCCATAAACTGATGTCTTGTTCCCTTCTTACAACCAATTATCCCTTCCCAAAATGCATTTCTCTTCTTCATTGGAATTATGGGGTTCCTCATTTAGGGCTCCATTTATGAGCCTTATATTGTGCGCCGTTGTATGTTGTGTCTCCGGGCCTCCATGGTCCATTGGTTAGCTATTGCTAGCCTTGTACTATTCCGTTTCTTATTAATTGAATTTAACTTTCAAAAAAAAAAAAAAAACCTCTTCAAATGCAAAAAGTTCATACAAAAACCATGCTCAATCTTTCAACTCTTCAAATGAAAAAGGGTTCAAACAAAAACCATAAACATGATTTAACATAAATTTCCATTTCATTTCAAAACAACCAAACAAATAAATAGTCCTAGGTTATCTTTATGGTTGGAAACAAGAGGCCTCACCACGTAAAGGATCATTGCAGTCGGTCACATTCAGTAATTTACTATGTCATAATGGATCACTACAGTCGATCACATTCGGTAATTGCTTTAAGTTGTTAGAGGATAAATAGGTAAAATGAGTCTTTGTCTGTAGCATCAAAGGTAAATGATGGCCAGTTAACAAGTGCTCTTTCTCTTTCTCTCTCTCTCTCTCTCTATATATATATATATATATATATATTTGTAACGACCCAAACCGGGGGCTCGAATTGCTAACCGGGTCCTTACCCATACCCAAAGTCGTCTAAGGGCACTATGGTTCATTCTAAGGTCGATACATAATATATGTGTCATCCCAAGGCTATACAAAAAACTGAGATCACTAATATAAAAGATGTCAAAACAATCCACTAACCCCATTCAAACTTATGGAGTAGCGTCGTCCGTCACTTCCTTTCCGTGACCTGAAAAATGTAATAAAATAAGATGTGA